TATTTTTGGTTCCATCGATTAAGAATGATTTAATTACCCATGCAATATGATGTCTTATTTATTGTGTCTTCTTTATTTTGATACCTCTATCAAAATTCAATTTTATTTAGTTCGTCCCAAAGTTTTCTTGTTCAGGCAAACTATCTACAAGTAAGCGACAACATCCCTCTTGTCATGGGATGGCACGGGGAAAATATATCTCTTGTCATGGAATGGCACGGGGAAAAATATCTCTTGTCATGGGATGGCGCGGGAAAATATCTCTCCTGTAATGGGATGGCACGGGAAAATGTGAGAAAAAAGACCAACAAGGAAAAGCATTGTTCACGGAATACATCCCCTCTCCCCTCCCCTTCCATTATATCTAAAAGCAGGAATCACAAAGAGGCACCAAACGAACAGTAGCAGATTAACGAGATGAAGTAGGGGCCAATTATTAAATAGATGGGAAATTATATTCAATTATAAGTGAAGCAATTTGAGGGAGGGGTGTAAGGGAAGAAGGCGCAAAATGGAAAAAGGAGGAACTTTGTTAAATTGACGACTTGTTTCAATATGAGACACAAAAACACAAGTGTCACAATATATAAACAAGTAACAAGACATAAACATCAACATTTTCACATTAAAGGTTCCAGGTTCATTGCCATATGAACACATCTGTAGATGTTTTTATTTTAAAAAAGCGAATAAAACAACTTCTCACATACATATATGATTTTGAGTCGCAGGATCAAGTTAAACAAAAAAAAAAGAAAGACCAGACAGAAACTATAGCGACCCATAAGAGCAAAACAACATGGGTAAATAAGGGATTCACGTGCCGATTGATATCCGTGCCTTTGGAACTGATGATCTAACTGCATGTGTCAAACAGGTAACTTTTAACGTGCTAGAAAATAACAACTGCACTATTAACCATATGTACAGAAACGCACGAGCAATCTCCTTGTTATGCCATTTTGGTCTGAGAATCAACTTAAGTAGTAACAGATATGATTATCAAACACTTAATTTCACGAAAATGAAGATACATTTATTACACATCGTTCATATATTGTTTTCAGGATAATTCCCCTTATATTACAACTGTGTCTTGTCACGATCATCAAGTGTTTCCAGTTTCACTTTGATATCTTTCATAGCTTTGAAATCATTCAATTTCATAAGCAATTTTGAATGAAAAAAAATGTAAGTTAAAAAGGAGTATATAACTCCAAACATAATGATAGCTTTCAGAATAACTTCCTTTGTTAAACAACTGTGCCTTGTCAAAAAAGATAAACAAGTATTCCAAGATTCATGTTGGTCCCTTTTATATAGCTTTAATATCATTCTACTTAATATGCAATTTTAACAAAAATTCTAAATTAAATAGGGGCATAACTCCAATAATAAGGAATAATATAAAGTTTCAAATTGATATCTTTAAGCTTGTTCGAATAATGGGCTACATTAAAGTTTTTGCACGTTCACAACGACTACGACTATTAAAATCATGAAAAGCCACAATGTAATCAAAGCCTAGGGGAAGCATTCCTCACTATCACAATGAAAATTACAGAGAACAAAGTGGAAATACTTAAATCATGCAAAATAAAACCCAGATCAACACGAAATGCAAACAAAGTGAGCCATACACAAATAATATGCAAAAATAGACTAATAGCATAAAAAGCGACTTTAAAATAGAAAGCAGCAAGAATGGGTTTCTATACAGAAAGTCCAGTGAAGGACAATTACAGTAGCAATTCTTCAAAAGCGCAGAGCTCGTATCAACGTCCAAGTTGAAGAATTCTTTCATCCAACCATCACATTGTCATCAGCTCTTTAAAAGAAAGCTCAATGTCACAGGGTGAAAAATGTGCAGCCTGACAGGGACTCGAACCCGGGACCCTCGGAATACCGATACTATCCGGCCACATCTTCTCCCTTATTAAGTGAACATGCAGTTCTAAACCGTGACATAATTCCCTGCTATATTGAAATTCGTCCTCGTATTTCACAGAGTTACAGAGCAATGTAAATTAAACTCTGAGCTATATCCAGTCACGGTTCCCTGCTGGGCGCCAAATGTCACAGGGTGAGAAAAATGTGCAGCCTGACAGGGACTCGAACCCGGGATCCTCGGAGTACTGTTCCGCGGCTCGACCGACTGAGCTATCCGGTCGCTTACACATCTTCTCCCCTATTACGTGAACACTTCTGAACCGTGACATAAACAAGAGGCCATGGGTTACAAGAACTTTGTGCTACCATCGACCCATCTCCCCCCTGGAACAGTTTTCCTAAGTCAGTCGTCAGTTGTCCTAAAATGGACAGATTTGAGAGGAAGGTGCATCCAGCGACCTTCAGAAGGCATTTAACAACGTTTGTAAATAGGCCTCCCCTAGGTTCTTAGACAGCGATGCACCAATGCTTGTTTACAATGTACGTCGACAGTTGTATTATAATAGAAGAAGAAGTACAGGATGAACATTAATTGGCATCGTATGACACCGTACAATGGTATACATTAAAGTTTGAAATTTACAAAACAACAATGTAATGTTATAACTGATTTCTATAAGCATAAGTTGTTCGTTAATTATATTAATAATGTTGTAAAGATTGTGGAAGTTTTAGCTTTCATTTCGCATTTTTGTATGGGCGGTTCCATGCAGTATTTATTCCTTCATGAAAACTAAATATATTATGAATAACCCTAAGGATAATATAATGTTGTTTTCACTATCCACTATCATCTATAACTCATATATATATTTAGATTCCCTTTCAAAATTTAATCATGTTTAGATCCAATTGGTTGCTCGTTTAGGGCACAGTCATTTTTTTTACTTGAGAACTACATATCAAGGAATGGCACCTGTCACATTGAAGATTCCATTTAACACAAAAATTTACCATTGCATATTTAAATGCTGTCTTTCTTTCATAACTAGATGTGATTTGATTAATACAAAATAAAAACATTTTGCTTATTTTGATTTATCAACTAGATGTGACCTATGTGGAAATGTGACCGATGTGGAAATCGCAATACTTATATTGTAAATATGATATCTTTGATTATTAGTTTCCATGGAGGCATTTGATACTTTATATATGTCTTGTTTATGAGGTATGTTATTCATTTGGTTATTCATATGGTTTGTAAGCCAGCAGCATGGATCCTGACCAGACTGCGCGGATGGTCGCAAACGCATGATTTTGGTTTTGTCATGGCGCGGCTCATATTAGTGTGCCTGCTTTCCACTGTTCAGGGATGTTAGGAACAATGCTCATATAAGCCTATGTATTTAAGTAAAATGCCGGTATAACTAAATTGCATCAACTTTTATTTACTATATTTCAAATATATTGAGTATTAAGTATTAAGTATTGCTACGTTGGGGAAATATATTTATTAAGGGTTTGAATCAAAATTAAATAGTTTTTCTTTGGTTTTATTTTCATGAAACATTTTCATGTTTGTTTTAGTCTCCAAGCACACATGAACAAGTTTGTTTGATTTTAAACGATTAAATGTGATTTAAAACGATTAAAGTAAGTCCATATCCTAATCTACATCCAAATTAAGCTTAATTCATTCAAAATTTAGCCGATCCTTGGACTTTATAACGCAGAAATTCCAGTCAATCAACCATTAACATTTTAAAATGACCTTTTTTAAAACCAACATATTAGAGCTAAGTGTAGGGTTTGGTACACCATTAACCGGTTTAAATTCCAAAGCAGTTCCATGGCGGCGCCCCTCCGTATTCCTCAGTTGTATGTCTTGTACAATCGTGTAACACTTTTGCGTCACTTCTGGTTCTTTCGTCTTCGTAAATATCTTCCCTTTCCCTTATGTTTTTTCTCCAGTTTTACGAAACCCCTATCCCGTCCTTCGGGGCTTCTCCCCCTTCATCCTTGTCCTTTTGTTCTTGTTTTTTTTTTAAATAAATTTTCATTTTTGGTTGCCTTTGTTGGTTTCTATAATTCCTGTTTTATAGTGATGCCCCATAGGTACGTTTTTGTGTGTGTGTTTTTTGTGTTGTTTTTATTTCTGTTTTTGGCCGTGTGCCCTGCCCTGTTTGGTGTCCTGCTGGGCTCCTTGCCCGTGGTCATCTGCTGGTGAATGTGTTCATTGAATGTCGCCCTTCCTTGTTGATTTTGTTTTTCATTTTTTTTTTGTAGTACATATTCTGCGTAAATTTCATTAATTCATAAATGGTTAATCTATACATGTATAATCATAATAACATTGAAAAGGCAACAACACCATTTCCTTGGAAATTTAATCAGAAGGTCAAAATGAAATAAATCGTTCATTCAGTTTCATAAGTGTAGATCTACAATCGGTTGTTATTTACAAAAATATACATAAAACACGAAATATAACGATACCAATATTATAACACTAGCTCAGTTTATCAATACATGCATATACAAATGTAAACATATTTATATTTTATAGCCTCATCCACATACATTTGAAAAATAAGGCTAAAATATTTTTTTTAAAGCACGTGCGTGTCTTTTTCTAAAATATTACAATAGAAATAACATCTGTACAAGAATTGCCACTGAATTTTTAGATTAAAGTAAGTACTTATATCAAATAGTAATATGATAACAAATAATAAAGTTTTGACTTACAAAACAATGAAGAAAGCAAAACAACATAAACTGACCAGCAACAAATAAACAAATAATACTGAAATGAAAAAAAATTGCACTAATGTAAAAAATTATAATGATTGCAATAAGACCACGTGTAATTAAAAATATCTAACGAGCAAATACCTGGATATTGTTATTTCTAACCAAAATTAAAACACAAATCAACAACTTTGCACAATACGGGACCCTTATTTTTTTACCAAACAAGCAACATACTTATGATCAACACCATTTTGTTTCAAGTTATTCGCCGACTTTCTAACATTCGTATTTTGCCAGTACACTGTACTTTATTTTACAAGGAACAATCTTTCTCATCGTCCCTGCGCTAACTTTCATGTGAATTTGTACACACGTATCTGGTCGCTTAAAGTAAAGTTACTGAGGTACAAAGTGTCAGATGCATCAAAATAACAAATAGCCTGGCAAAATTCGCCACCTTCCTTCCGTCGCAGCATAATCTTCAACTTATTGCATTCCGACGAGATCAGGTGAACGCTATGACCGTGCGAGCTACACACAAGAAGAGAACCATCTCTACACACGACTAATCCCCTTGGACACCGTAACTCCGTGTCCTTATAAGTAGCGAGTATTTCACCATCGTATGCAAGTCGTGTTACCGAATGTTTCTCATTATCAGAGACATATACACTTTCACCGTCTGAACTGGACATGACATAGTAAGGCCGTTCAAAAAGGGGAATTCCTGACGCATCTGCTTTTAAACAACGCAAAACCTTCCCGTGTAGATTCATGATCTCAACTTTCGAAGGGTCGTCGTACGATACAACAAGATTGTCATTGTTGTAGGCAATTCCTCGACATCTGCCCACAACATCAATACTGTGACCTTTCGTAAAGCCGTTTGTTTTGTTAAGAAACTGAATCTTGTTCTCGCTTGTTACTGTAACTGCAATCTGGTCTTTTGAAATTTGTGCAAGATCCCAAGGAGGGGATGCTAGATGGATTTCTGACAACACAAGTGCGGTTTTTACGTCCACCAGTTTAACCGAATTGTTTGCCCAATCTGCACAAGCAATTATTCCGCTAGAAATCACAATTATGCTGGTAATGTAACAATCCTTTTTATCAGTTTTAGATTTCACTTTGATTTCTCCTCTACCGTTATACGCCATGTCGTATAAATTCTTTTTGTCTAAGTGAAAAGAAGGTTCCGTAAGCGTCACTTCTAGTTTCCCTATAGCTTTCCTAGACACAACCATATCCCTGATGGCTTTACTTCTTTTAAATAAACACAGTTGCAGTTTAGTGTCACCATTGTCTGACTTTAACTCTTGAATAATACCCTTTAAATGTGAACTTGTTTCATTTGCTGTTAGAACCATGTCAGCAGATAGTCTCTCGTGAGATTTTAGACTAGAATTCACTGTATCTAACTCGTACTGCATGGTTTTAAATTCAACATCTAACTTTTTTATTGCTTTCTCATTTTCCTGATTTATATTGTGACATCTTTCTAGCAGATTCCGCTCCATTTCGTCTAAATATGCATCGATGTCTTCACGGTACTTTTTAATGTCTCTAACAGCGTCGGTATAAGCGGTTGTAACTTCTCTACTGTTGTTATCTATTTCTTCTTTTGTCGTTTTCACCACAGTGAGAAGCTTTTCAATTCTCCTAACGAACGCTTTGTATTCATCCCTACTGGCGCTTGATGCGTGGTTAGCCTTACATATTGTGTACCCTTGAATATTAGACTTTTCCTTTCGGTTAAAATCTTCCATTATTATTATTAATTTAAAATGTGCTATTATTTTAATTATGTAATTTATAACTTGATCTACACCGTTTTGAATATATCCTGATTTGCTGTCACTATTTCAATATGAACACATATTTGATCTGATAAGTTTAGTAAGAACCATTGTTTAATTATTGTCAGTTTACCTTTAATTTCTGATTATCACTATTTTACGCGATAAAATTAACATTAGAAACAATTGTTTTTAAATGGTATTATTATTTATCTGCTGTAAATCTCGCGCCGGGCTATCATATTTCAGAAGTCAGTTTAACTAGCACACGTGAGTGACTACTAAACGTCACGGCATAATCCTGCGACTTAATTGTAAAGTATCCAAATATATGTACTTCTTTAACCATATATCCGATTATAAAAGCATTAACTTTGAAAACATTTGCGCACAAATGTTAAAACCATATCCCAAGACAAGTATTTAGTGTTGTCCGAGTCATATCAACATATTACATACCACGGGTTTAACATGATCGAACTCTTAGTTTGCAGAAGAAACGTGCGAAGTTTGAAAATTTTGAAAAATATGGCATAAACTTCAGAATATATTATTTTAATTGATTGTTTAATAATGGCACATACAAAATATATATACATTGTACATGTATATCGTTATATGAGTTTTATGATTTTGACCGATGACAGATTGGTTGTTTAGTAAGGGAATGTTGCATTTCTCTTTGATTGGCAGAAAAAAAACAACAACAAAAAACACCACAATAATTTTTTATATAATAATCGTCTTCTTAAAACTCCGATTTCAACCAAACTTGGCAGGATTGTTCCTATGGTGAAGGGCTTCTAAAGTTGGTCCCATGCAGAAATATGGTTCCCATGGAAACAATAAGACAACACTTAAAATATCAGCTTCCCTAGAACATAGATATCTGTGAGCAAGGCACAAAAAACAACAACAACAAAAAACAAAACAATTCAAAACTACAAAGGCTAGAGCTTACATATTGGCAAACAACATTGTATCATGGACCTCTACCAAGATTGTGCAAATCATATATATGAGGTTAGAATTGGCCCGGCTCGAGGAGGATCATGAGTTTTCCCAGTTAGCAAATAACGAAAATAAAAAAAATATTCTCCTTCAAACTAAAAGGGTTAGAACTTAGATACATTGTCATTACCTACGGCATGAAACCTACCTACCTACCTACATGTAAATTTTATAAATTGATGGAACATAATTTAATCATGGAGCTTTATTTTACCAGATAAGTAGATAACATCTAACTAGAGCTCTGTGTCCTGATTTAATTTTATAATGTCCCGGTACAGAGATACGGCATTTAACGGACTACTGTTTTATAATTTTAATTTGTTGAACGCTGGCTGTAGTAATCTTGAGCATAAGTCTTGTTTTTCAAACCGTGGTTACTCCCCTTACACTTACGGTAGGATAAGGTAGTTACTTCCCTTACATTCACAGAACGACACTGCAGTTACTTCCCTTACAATATAGTACGACATGTTTAGGAAATTAGGGGGAATTTGAGAAGCAAAAGCAGCTGTTGAAACTGGGCAGTAATTTAAGGTTTTTTAGGATTCGGACCACAGGGAAATATGGCCTTATTTTGTTAGCTCTGTACTGTTTTAAAATTGCATAATTTACTTAACTTCTTCACACACTTTTTTATTTTTCATCTGTCAAAATTTTCATTAATTTGCCATCACATAAATGTATCCCGGTGTAACCTAAATTCGGCGATATAAGAACAAATGTCAATGGCATTTTCAATAAACTACAGTAATCTATAATTATACTTGATATAATTTTACTACAAATATTTAAAAGTTACTTTTAGTTCATTTCTAACAATGTAATCGTTCAGCGGTTGCCAAATATAAACAAATGGAAGTGGCTAGCCGTACGGGCCCGTACGGCTAGCCAAAAGTTCTAGCCGTACGTGAGTCACGTACGACTAGCCTGGACACACTGTATTGGCTAGCCGTACGGCACTTTTCAAAATTATATGGAAGTCGAAAATGCATATGTCATTATTTTGTGTCTTTAAACAACGATTTTAATCAAATCTCCGCATTTGTCCTAGTGTGTTCACTTTAATAAAGATGCTCCGCAATTTTGCACAAAAAAAAATGAATACGAGTAAGCGTTGTATAATCTATCTTAATAAAATTGAGTGTCAAAGTTGCATGTTATAACGTCCTTAATTTTCATGCTTATGATTTGTATGAAAGATGAATTGTTAAATCTGTTAAGCACATGGATCGAATAAATAATGATCGGAGGGGAATAAATAAAAAGAATATTAAAAAAAAAACGGTGAAAAGGAAAAATAATTTAATAATGCAAACTTTTCTTAATGATGGACGATGGACAAATTTCTATACTGTCGGTAATTGACGCAATTTTCAGAGCCCAACAACAATTATTTTCGGTGTTTTTTTGTTGTTTTTTTTTGTTTTTTTTTTTTTTTTCAGTTTAAAAATTAAACTTAATGAAACAAAAAAGGATTATTATCAAATTTTGTAAACTATTTCAATTGATGTTATTTAACTGCAACCAAACGCTATTTTTTCTCGACGTCTTGAGATGACAAAGTAAATTCTTTACTGTAGCCAACACGTCGATTAATCTCTAAAAAGTAAACATTCTTGACTAAAACCCTCGCTTAAAGTCATAATTAACATATGCACTTTCGCCTTCCATATATTTTTGAAAAGTGCCGTACGGCTAGCCAATACAGTGTGTCCTGGCTAGTCGTACGTGACTCACGTACGGCTAGAACTTTTGGCTAGCCGTACGGGCCCGTACGGCTAGCCACTTCCTAAACAAATATGGCTGATGTAAAATCTTACTACGATCTGAAAACGTCACCTAAATTCGGCGATTCTGATTGGTTGCAGTATTTTTTTTATTTTGGCGGGATTGTGACGTAGTATGTTGACCTAGATCGGCAGTAAAAATAGTTAGTTTAATTTAGATAAAAACGGCGACTGTCAAATTATTTCAAGCAACAATATCAATCAAATAGAGGGAAGTATAGATAAACTTGAAATTGCATCGGGTAAAACACACAATTTTCTCCATGTCATATACAATTTTTAATGTTTACCAGCCGTATCTCCATATTTAGCGCAGAAAATCACTGGAATTGTAAAAATAGACCGTGGGACATAAACATGATTGACCTTCACCTCTGAAATCTCGCGTGAATGATGAAAAACAAAACATCGCCGAATTTAGGAGAACGCCGAATTTGGGTCACGGTAGGATATAGAGTCAGTGTACCCGGTTCCGCACAGGACCCGGTCCCGCACACTTTCCAATTTTTCATTTTTTCTTGAAAATTCAAATGAATTTATTCAGTTTTCTTCTGTGTTTCAATGAACTGGCATGTTTTCAACAAGATATGACATAATCTGGGATCTTGCACCCCAGCCTGTCCCTGGAGAGTGCAGACGAAAATGTAAATACATGTACATGGCTGTGTAGGTCACACATAAAAACAACTTATTCAGCAAGTTAACCATGCTAATTTCTATTTTAATGTTTAGATTATTATAAAATATATATTTTTAAAGAAATGTATGTTTTTGTTATGGCAAATTTGCTGTTAGTTATGATATATATACGCACATGAATTAACTTCTCCTAACTACCAAATGCCAAGTCATTTCACTTTGATTCTATCTATCTATCTATCTCTATCTCTGGATACTGCCAACCCCTCTTACGAGTGTTACAGGCAGGTATACATTGTATACATTTAAGAAACAGCTTTAAGATACATTATTTAAAATAATAACAAACTCTTAATCAAACAAATCATAACTAAATAGATGAAAAAACTTGCAATAATATTTTTTTATGTCTGCATTTACTACCTACAAGTGGTAAAAAAGTATGTTTCCATTGCTGTTACATGTTTCATGTATGCTACTATCCATGGAAATAAATGTTTGTATACTGTAGTAAGAATGTGCATTAAATTGATTTGAAGTCCTGAAAATTTGCAAAAAAATATATCTTATCTGGACTTAGAGATGTTAAATAATTTATAAAACATGTTTAAGATGTAAAATTACCTTTCAGTGTAAAAATGGCCTTGTGTGCGGAACCGGGTCCACTATTTATTATATTTGGCCCATTCCCGTCGCTTAAAATCAAGTGCGTCTAAAGTATGACCTAGTTAAGAGAGAAACGTTTTTGTCATCAGTTTTTATGGGCAAAAGATGTCATTTTCAAAATAATATCAAATATAAGAAGAATTTTTAACTATAAAATAATTTTCTTATTTTTCCTTAAAAAAGTGTACGACACCAGGTACACTGACTCTAGTACCTATTTGTAGATTTTTTTTCGAACTGTTTCTTAACATCATTGCGATGGCTCAGCGCAATACTGGTCTAAGTGACATTTTTACCAAAAATCACTTTTTTACATATTTTGATAATGTAAGGTCAAATACACATTCTGTGAAAATTTTAGGGTAATTAATGCTTTTTTTGCCTTTTTTATTTACATTTAAAATAAAAGTCTATCTCAGGTAGTTCAATTTTGTCAGTGCAATATAGGTCTAACTTGAGTTGGTCTCTTATTGCGATGTCTAATATATCAATTTTCCTCAAAAATGCTTGAGTTAGACCTTAAATGTTTCATTTCCAGGTACAGAATAATATGCATATCCCATTGAAATGTGTTATAAAGAATTTGAGAATTCATGAAAACACTAGAAATTATTTGCCTCCATCAGTGCTTTGTATAAATCGCGAAATATTAGCCAATTGCATAACATGTACAAGTAACTGTAAAAATCTTGAAAAAAATTAATAATAATTAAGTGTCACAATTAAACATTTATTTTGTCTTTGAAGTCATTACATCATATTACACTGTATTATTTGATAACATAAAGTGCAGTTGAAACTATCATTTTTGTACAATTTAGTAAAAGACAGTGTACATGTATGCTTCTCATGCACACATTTAAAATGGAAAATAACATGTGTTACACTTTAAGTGGATTCATAACCTGATCCCCCTCTAAAAATTCATTGTTTTTTAGTTTGACCTTTGTTTAATCATATGCTGAAATTTCCTAATTCTTAATTTTACACTTTGTTCATATTTATATAATGTGTTCTGCTTAAGATGGTGTAAGGGGGTAGACTGTACATTGTTTCACTGCCAAATCAAACTTAGCCTGTAACACAATAACAAATTTAAGGTTTGAAGCCGTTCCTGGGTTTTTATTTTTAAATTATGTATCTACTTCTGTATCACTCTCTTTAATCAAGTAAAGTTATTTAAGAAATAATATATCCCAAACTGTGATTTTATTGCTCATTAACATCACTGTTTGGAGTTCGGATGCGAGGAATTATATCACGAGGGCGTATCCTGAGTGATATAATGATGCGCATCCAAACGACAAACAGTAATGTTATCAAGCAATAAAATCACCAATTTGGATATATTATTTCGATTCTAACACGACATTAACAAATAAATGCTGCCGTACCCGATATTTAGCTAAATTGCACCTGATTTGTTTCCGTTCTTATTGTCAGCGCGTCACATTTTTAGTTGTTACGTCATGTGTATAATGATTACCTCGCATGTATAGAACGTCAAACAGCGATTTTATAGCATAATAACACACACTTTCGGTTCTTCTATGTTCAATAGAGAAAAATGCAGGTTGTGTTAGAAATATAAACTTTACACTATCAACTCAAACAATACAATAACAACATAGTGTCAACATGTGCAAATCACACTCTTCACAATACTTATATTATTGATACAATATCTTTCTGTCTGATGTGATATGTGCAGAAAAAATCAAAATATGCACACTTATACATTATAATGACCTTTTCAGTTCTTGTATTCTGATAATTTTTTACATCACACAGCTCCATTGAATTTTCGAGAGTGCAATTGTCAAAAACTCTTTGACTTATGTGGCAGAAACAGCTATAAGTTGATAAAAATGTTTCATTTTAGATCTAAAAGCCATTAATTTTACCTATCAAATTTAATGAAATTAAAAATGTAATGACTATCAACTGCTTTTGGTATAGTATCAGTGTCAATGAGAAAATTCAAACATTTATCCATTCTAATTGTTTAGTGCTAATCTAAGGTGTGCACATGGTGCTTCAGGTGTGCGCCTTTTCATATCTGAATGAGTAAGTGGTTGCAAGTGTTTAAAGCACATCTAACTTTACAAAAATGATTCTGAATTATATCATGTGCTAACAATACTTTGTTCTATGAATCCCTGATAGTGGGTTGTACTGCCCTACTTTTTTCTCTAAAATATGTTTGACAACCTCTTGTTATTTGGTCAAAATTTAGAGGTAAAATGACTTTGATATATAAAATGAAACACTTTTCTTAAGATATGCACAGTTTTCAGCAAAACATGTCATAAAATTTGCACATTACACTTTCAAAATATACTCTAAACAGTTGAGAAAGTAAATACAAAAGTTGTAATAAAAGCATGGTCTAACAGCGGTTTTCATTTTTGAAAATATTTGATATTTTTAAATGATTATATCATCAGAAAAGAGGACCACATACATTAAATTCATTAAGATTTAGCGCATAAGAGTAATATCGGAATCACAGCATTTAAGCACCAATGGTGGTAATGGTGTGCATTGAGAAAATAAAATGTGTCTTCTTTGTACAAATGTGAGAAACAAAATGTACATTCCCTGTTTTCAAAATTTGATGATATCATAATATATACCTGGATCGTCAGTCATCATTGTTCATGACTACTGTTCATAACACTATATGTATCAAAACTGTTTGCATTTTGTTTAGAATTCAAATTTATTGCACAGATAATCTGCAAAAGATCTTAAGTTAATCTGAATCTCAAACAAATTGAAAAAGAAGAAAGAAGTGTACTTTCATCTAAAGTCAGCTTGCATGATATATTAATAGAAAAATATTAAAGGATTTAGTCTTTGTAAAGTTCTTCTACAGACTTGCAGAATATTTTAAACAATGTTTAAATTAATAAAACAATTTTGTTCAAAATTTAAAATTTCATTTATATCAGAATATTTAACATAAAACAGGTCTAACTCAAATATTTGTACCACTTTTACCAAATTGCAAGAGGGAATTTGAGTCTAACTCAAGTTAGTCTTGTATTGCGCTCAGAATTTCAGCGCAATAAAGGTCTAACTCTAAAATACACAATTTGTAACATTTTAATAAAAAATTATATAAATGGCATTATTTCTTATTATAATTAATGTTAACATAGCAAAAAAATATTTTCTAATATAAGTATTTTTGAATAAAATCAGTTTTTTGTCTCTCCTGAACATTTTCAAAAATAGCAGTTAGACCAGTATTGCGCTGAGCCATCGATTGATACTTTAAGCTGTTCAAGAAACTTTTGCAAGCAATACATTGGGCATGTACCGAACAGACACTTCCTTTTGTAAATGTGTTAGAAAGTTGCATGCTCTATTATCAAGGCTTTAATTGAAGCTATGATTGTGTAAAGTAATTATGCTTAAAATTTGCGTTTGTAGATTCAAAATCAGTTTCAAAGAAGTTTTTATTTGGTACTCGAAAAGAAATCCATCTCTTTCTCTGAAGTGACTAATCTAGAGTCATGTCTACATGCCGCGAGGGGTTTGACATTTATGGAAGAAAGATAGAGTTGAATTTGGCTAAAACATATGGAACATGGGGACATGGCGGAGTGGTTAACGCGTCAGACTAGTAATCTAATGATCACTAGCCCCATGGGTTCAAACCCTGTCAAGGGCAAGTCATTGTTTCCTTGAGTAAGAAACTTTACAGATATTGCTCAGTTAATGGTTGGTTCAAGGAATTGATTCAAAAGTGTGTCTATAAGCTTATAGCTTCCTTCACAATCGAACTAAAATAAATTCTGTATAAACCAAACATATGGAAATTATACGACAACTCAATACTTATTGAACTATTATTATTGTCACAAAAGGAGCGGAAAGTACCTCTTTCATTTATTTTGAATTTTATTGTACGGATTAAATAAAAATTTCTACGGATTAAATAAAAATTTCTACGACACTGATTTTCTGCTGAAATTGTAGAATATAATCCGTGGTTGCTCAAATTTCTTTTTTTTTCTCATACGATTGTCATTTTTATTTAACCATCTGTATGTCAAATCTGTGTACATGATACAAAAAGTTATTTGTAATATATGTTTACTGTTATTTTTTTACATTGTGTACATGAACAAGATTTGATGAATGACAAAAGTTAAAATTTGATTTTCATTTACATTACAGCTTGGTTTTAATAACAGTTACAGCCCTGTTTTTGTTTGTTTTTGTTTTTTGTGTGTGTGTGTGTGAATTCTGATCCTCAGATGCAGTCCTGCTTTGAAAAAGTAAGATCTGTCATGCCAGGGGATATACCCATCCTTCAGACAGCTATGTTGTCCGTGTGCAACCAGTGAGATATCAAATGGTTCATAAGGGAATGATTAATAATTGTAATTTTTCAGAAATCTTTAGGGACTTCTTGCATTTTAGTAACTGAAATCTCTTTGGTACCTTTTGTCACATAAAGGCCTATTATGCCCCAGTTTTTTTTTTCAAAAGCATTTTCTATTTGATGTCATTTTAAAGTTTTCAAAAAGTTATTTTTGATCAGTTGCTTGAAATCAATCATTTATTGCTTTATTGTAATTTAGTATTTTGTATGGAAGGAAAAATACTACTTTGTTTACATTTTGCTCCTTTCATTACAAATAATTTCACAATCAGGGCTAATCTTTTATGTAATAAACATCTAACATGCTCTAAAACTATTATTTAGATATTACAAATCTTATATTTGCCTTTCATTAAGACGGAATAAATATTTTTATTTTTTTTAGCGATAATGTGTCTTTAAGATCTGGGTAAGATTTTTAATATCCTCAGATGCAAGTCTGTTAAAACAAAGTTAACACTGCTGTAAAAAGTTTGAAACATTTTATCAAGCGTTAATATAAGTTTTTACTACAAGTAATATCACAAGTAAAGGCAGCATTCCAGTGCCTGTACACATATATCAATATTGCCTGCAAGCATGGTTTCAGTATGAATTGATTCCTTGTTTGTAACAATAATAGTGCCAAAATTGTCATACCATCAGCAAAAAAAAGCAAGAAAAAATTCTTTACTTTTATACTCTCCAATACAATTTTATTAATGTACAATCTAAGAAACTAATAATTAATTTAGTGCTGCATTAGCTGCTCATTTTATCATGGAGATAAAATCTATATTGTGTGACAGGGAGTTTGATGACAGTATTGCATGCTGGGTATTATTCCATGGTTAAACACCAGAACACGCATTGTCTAGCAAATTGAAATATGATAAATTATTAGTGAGAGTAATACCTGGCATTGGGGTAGATTACTGTCTTTTGGGTCATTATGGCAGGAGAAGGTGACATTATAGAGTAGGTATATTACACCATTTAAGTGCATTTAGTAGCATATGGGGTGGTCTTGTAATCTTCACTTTCCTTCTACCCAATTACATTAGCCATACTGTTACATAAAGAAAACCTATATATTGTTTCTTTGAAGTGTTCATTAATTATTTACCTGACAGGTGCCTGAAATGTAATTGACGTAATATCTAATGATGGTCCAGCAGTATTGGCCTTGCAAGGATGAGTATTATGAGTCTCTGAAGACATATCAAAGATGTGCAGGCAATTAATGTAGGTAAGTAAAATATGTAATAAAGGGAGTGCAAAGCTTTCAATGATACTCTGACATTTGTGGAAGGTAATTGGTTAAGTATATTTTTTCGTGAATTGTATCAAAAATGATAAATCATTGAAGGAAGGCGAAAAAGTTTTATTTATTATCAAAATTTAGTATTTTGTCAGCTCAATAAGATTTTTCAACTTTTTTTATTTAAACTGGCTTCACTAACAACTTTAAAATGAACATGTGTTTGTATACGCATTTCGAATTACATTGCCTTCTTACCCGAGTGGTTAAGTTCACAGACTACAAGAAACTTGCCGCAAGTTACTTGTAGTCTGTGAACTTAACCACTCAGTTAAGATTACTTGCCTGTCAGTAATATAGGTTGTTTTACTCTAAAATATTTTTTTACCACTTACATCTCATCACTGCTGGGTTTGAATCCCACCATCAGTATTGAATTCTTTCATGTAAACAAGCTATAGGAGGACGTCAATGACCGAGTGGTAAAGGTCATGGACTTTAAAATCACTTGCCCTTCACCGCTGTTGATTCAAATCCAGACAGACACTTTGGATTCTTTCATGTGAGAATGCTATCCAGCTAGCTTACAGAACATTGGAGGTTTTACTTGATTGTCCATTTGTGCCTTAAAAAATGCACAGAGGGGCACCTGAGGTCTTCCTCCACCATAAAGCTTGAAAGTGTCCATATGACCTACACTGTGTTGGTGTAAGTAGAACCCAACAACAACAACAAAAAAAGTATGTAGCTGACATTTGGAATATCATTGACTGTACTTATATGCCCGATGGGCCCAGTAATGACATCACAGACTGTTGATGGCAGGTACTGTTATATACAAAACATCATAATTAGCATTATTATTATGATAATAACCAAACTAGAGTTGAAAATAGAATCTGCAATATGAGATGTATATAATTAACACAAGTAAAAAATCTCATTACAAGTTAATCAATTTTTTTAAAGCATAACAAACATTTGGGATAATTGATGATGTTGCCCTGGTTTTGTGGTAACCAATATATCAAATAGCAAAATATTGTTTCAAGTGAAATGCATACAGTAATCAATCTTATATAGCTGAAACACTATGTTTTTGTTTGTATACAACATGGGTACATGTATATGACACTGTGCAGCTTGTTAATGCTTTCTCAAAATAATTGCCCAACACATTGAAATGAGCCACATCACGACAAAACCAACATAATGGGTTTGCGACCAGCATCCGCGCAGTCTGATCAGGATCCATGCTGTTTGCTTATCAACTCTATTACAAGTGGAGAAACTGACAGCGAACAGCATGGATCCTGATCAGACTGCGCGGATGCGCAGGCTGGTCTGGATCCATGCTGGTCGTAAACCCATTATGTTGGTTTTGTCGTGACGCGGCTCAAATGATTTTTCTTTTTTATAAGATCATCATTGAAGCCTGCATGTATGACAAGTTCCAGTACATCTGGATCTTTAATGTCTCACTTTATATTAATTCAAATGGGAAATTAAATGTTTGTCTTTTGTGAGAGGTTTTTTGTCAGCAATATTTTTATTTGGAAATGATTTGTTGAATAGAATTTTACTGCAATTACCATACTGTTGAAAAAATTTATTCTTTCTATCAATGATTTTGTGGGCGGCATGGCCGAGTGGTTAACATGATGGACTAGTAATCTAGCGATTGCTAGCCGCATGGGTTCAAACCCCTTCAGGGGCAAGTCGTTGTTACCTTGAGCAAGGAACTAAACACTCATTGCTCAGTACTGGTTGGTTCTAGGAACGGATCCTAAAGTGTGTCTCCTTATAGCTTCCTACACAATTGAACTAAAATAAATGCTGTATAAACCAATGATTTTGTTATACTCATTATCTTCATGAACTAGATGAGATCATTACATGTATAAGAAGTAAGCCAGGAAATTTCTGAAAATTCAGTTTTGTAATAAGCTTATATTTTTTTTTTGAAAACAGCAACAACTTTTAATTTGAAAGACCTTAATTCTTGAAATGTTTATTTTCATATTTCTAAGGTCATGCAAAGTTTAAATAAATCCTTTGAAACAGTTTTCATTCTGTCTATACCAGAACTCTAGCAAATGTCCTTAAAACTGATAAGATATTTTCTTCATACTGCAAAATAAACACTGCATGCAAGAATTTTGCACTGGTATTTTGTACAAAAGAAGCAATCATGTGTATGACAAGAGTAATGATTTAAGTGGGGTCTTTAAAATATCATGTTCACCTTTGTTGTCGTCTGCTGTTTTGTTAATTATGTAATGATAGATAGATATTTGTTTCACCTTTTCATTTTGTACTTTTGCCTAAATTTGTTTTTTTACTTTATAGCTCTCAAAGGGGGCCTTACCAAGCTTGTCGGTAGTCTGACATTTGGTTTGAAATTATACATGGTTTAATAGTTCTGCAAGAAAAGGTCTTTGGTGATTTTTCAAGGGGTCCTCTGCTTGTAATTAAGGGTTCAACAAATACTGTCCTAATTTGTAATTCGGCTGATAAATAAACAAATTATGACAGTGTGTCAATGAAAAATGAACTTATGTCTTTATATAAGTCATGTTTAGCCTTGGAATACAATTTTTACCAGATTCATAGTGGAAGTGTAAATCATGATTTCTATGAATTTGCATATTTTAGGATACATCTATTTATATCTACTATGACTCATCTTGATGCACTTAAGAGATTAAAGTGCTATATGAAAATCATATAAGATAAGATAAATATTACATAAATATCTCCTTTATTTACTATTTCTGTAATTATGATATCCCTGTCTTTAGATACAATCTAATCTTGATAGACTGTGTTACATGTTTTTCTGGGTAATATGTTATAAACTCTGAAAATTCTCAGGTAGAGAGAACCAGTCTATAAAATTACCAGTTTGATACTCATTGCAGGTTTTTTTTAGAATGATTGAAGTTATAAATCAGACTGAGGTAGGAAGTGGGATATATTTATTATCTCTAAAACACCTGTTCTGTGTTGTTATGTAAGCAACTGTAGATAATGTTGAAATATTTTGTCTGGTTTTTTGAAATAAAAATGTTGATTTAAACAAGTTGAATATTTCAAAAGAAAAATAGTTTTCTGATAAAAAGTTATTTTAGAAATATAAAAAAAAACATAACACTTTGTGAAAATAAAATATCTTCTTGCAATGTTATGTATATTAAATGATTAACTATTAAAAAACAGGTACAAGATTTTTTTCATTTATATACTTAATAACACCCTCAATTCTATAAATGTATAATGTCTTGTCTAAAATAGCACTCTCCAGTTAAAAGTCAGGGCATTATAATTATTTTGGAGAGTACCAGAACCATTTTTTTCAAGCTCAGCTAGAACTTGTCAATATTTGAGCAGAGTTGTGGCCCTTTCCTATATTGTGAATAACATCACTTTATAGGGATATAAGCTGATCATGTGATTTACAGACTGATCCCAATTTAATGCAGATAGATGATGTACAAAATGTATTTTATAATGAAATTTATTTTTCTTCTATATTGCATAAAAATCTATATTAGGGGAAAAATTGGATTATACTTACAATGATTTTTGATGACAGAAATTATTTTGTAATTTGTTTGTTCCCGTGAGAGACCGATGTGGAAATTACCCTACTGTAGATAACTAGAACAGAAAATTTCTATATTATCTCCTTAATCAATTAACATCTCCACAAAGTGATCAAAGCTAAAGATGTTTTAAAAGGGGTTAAATGACCCTAGGAAGTATGTCATCAGCTCCCATTTTTCATACTTGAACAGTCCCTATAGAATCTTTATTTCATTATCTTTGCTTTTAACTGTTGAATCAGTTAGTATCTAAGACTACAAACTTATCTTTTAGATGTTAAGCCATCTGGTGAAACACTTTTTACATGCCTCATAAACAAGAGAAGAAAAACACATACACTGGTAAGTTAAAAACATTTACACATAATCTGGTAACAATCTGTTTGCTCATTACTCCCCTATTATCCTGGTTTTCTAACAGTCCTTTGGAATTAGATTTCATAGACACCAGATTAAATTATTTGAATTTCAGGCTTTACTTGTAGAACAGCTGTGGAAAGAGATTCATGTACAGCTGTCTGTCCACTTGTAATAAAATGAAATAAGAAAATATTGTTGTTCACTTTGTAATCATAATTTAAATCAGAAGTAAAAGGAGTATAGAATTATTTCTACACTAAGTCCAAAAAAAAGAAAGAAAAAAGTCCAGATGAAATTAATATAAGTCTGGGATCTTTTTTTTCTTACCATTAATTTTCAAAATGAAGTCTGGCTAAAAGAGAATTTGTCTGCAAGGTAACATTTTAGATATTGCTTAGTAATGGTTTTAAAACCAGATCATCACAAAATTACATTTTGAGAACAGAGCCAATGCATGTTGTTGCAATTTGACATTATCCCAATAGAAATTGCCAAATTAATTTGATATTGTAACCAGTTTTAGGACTGAATTGGGAAATCACTGTGTAAAAAAACTTGATTGCAAGGTTTCAGCCTATTTTGTTTTTCATTTCTGGTACTACTCAAACCACAATGCTTTGATGTTTCAATGAGCTAAAATCACAGAGTGTAATTGTATTGTATGTTATATGTTGTTTTATTGGATTCTTCACTCTCCTAGAATGATGTGATTCATTGCCATTGCATTCTCATCATTTAATGTGTGGAACTTGGGTTTTTAGTTACACCAACACATGTTCCAACATACAGTGAGAAAAAGTGAGGACCCAAGAGACACCTCTGTTAATATTTCTAGCACAAGGAGGCACCAAGTAGAGTGAGAACCCAAGATAAACCTCTGTTTATATTTCTAGCACAAGGAGGCACCAAGTAGAGTGAGAATCCAAGATAAACCTCTGTTAATATTTCTAGCACAATGAGGCACCAAGTAGAGTGAGAACTCAAGATAAACCTCTGTTTAATATTTCTAGCAGCAAGGAGAATGCACCAAGTAGAGTGAGAACTCAAGACAAACCTCTGTTTAATATTTCTAGCACAAGGAGGCACCAAGTAGAGTGAGAACTCAAGATAAACCTCTGTTTAATATTTCTAGCACAAGGAGGCAACCAAGTAGAGTGAGAACCCAAGATAAACCTCTGTTTATATTTCTAGCACAAGGAGGCACCAAGTAGAGTGAGAACCCAAGATAAACCTCTGTTTATATTTCTAGCACAAGGAGGCACCAAGTAGAGTGAGAACCCAAGATAAACCTCTGTTTATATTTCTGCACAAAGGAGGCACCAAGCAGAGTGAGAACCCAAGATAAACCTCTGTTTATATTTCTAGCACAAGGAGGCACCAAGTAGAGTGAGAACCCAAGATAAACCTCTGTTTAATATTTCTAGCACAAGGAGGCAACCAAGTGAGAGATAAACCTCTGTTATATTCTAGCACAAGAAGCACCAGTAGAGTGAGAATCCAAGATAAACTCTGTTAATATTTCTAGCCACAATGAGCACCAAGTAGAGTGAGAACTCAAGATAAACCTCTTTTTAATATTTCTAGCACAAGGAGGCACCAAGCAGAGTGAGAAACCCAAGATAAACCTCTGTTTTATTTTTTCTAGCACAAGGAGCACCAAGTAGAGTGAGAATCCAAGATAAACCTTCTGTTAATATTTCTAGCACACATGAAGGCACCTGTAGAGTGAAGACTCAAGATAAAACCTCTGTTAATATTTTCTAGCACAATGAGGCACCAAGTAGAGTGAGAATCCAAGATAAACCTCTGTTAATATTTTAGCACAATGAGCACCAGTGTAGAGTAGGAGTCAAGTTCATTGGTTTATATTTTCTTACACAAGACCAAGTAGAGTGAGAACCAAGATAAACCTCTGTTTATATTTCTAGCACAATGAGGCACCAAGTAGAGTGAGAACCCAAGAATAAACCTCTGTTAATATTTCTAGCACAAGGAGGCACCAAGTAGAGTGAGAATCCAAGATAAACCTCTGTTAATATTTCTAGCACAATGAGGCACCAAGTAGAGTGAGAACTCAAGATAAACCTCTGTTTATATTTCTAGCACAATGAGGCACCAAGTAGAGTGAGAACCCAAGATAAACCTCTGTTAATATTTCTAGCACAAGGAGGCACCAAGTAGAGTGAGAATCCAAGATAAACCTCTGTTAATATTTCTAGCACAATGAGGCAAGTAGAGTGAGAACCAAGATAGAACCTCTAGAAGATTTATATAAAGAGACAGAAGTAGAAAAGAAATCTCGGTTATATTTCTACACAATGAGGCACCAAGTAGAGTGAGAACCCAAGATAAACCTCTGTTAATATTTCTAGCACAAGGAGGCACCAAGTAGAGTGAGAGATTAAACCTCTGTTAATATTTCTAGCACAATGAGCACCAATTAGAGTGAGAACTCAAAACCTCTGTTTATATTTCTTTAGCACAAGGAGGCACCAAGTAGAGTGAGAACCCAAGATAAACCTCTGTTAATATTTCTAGCACAAGGAGGCACCAAGTAGAGTGAGAATCCAAGATAAACCTCTGTTAATATTTCTAGCACAATGAGGCAGCCAAGTAGAGTGAGAATCCAAGATAAACCTCTGTTGATATTTCTAGCACAAGGAGGCACCAAGTAGAGTGAGAACTCAAGATAAACCTCTGTTAATATTTCTAGCACAAGGAGGCACCAAGTAGAGTGAGAACCCAAGATAAACCTCTGTTAATATTTCTAGCACAAGGAGGCACCAAGTAGAGTGAGAACCCAAGATAAACCTCTGTTAATATTTCTAGCACAAGGAGGCACCAAGTAGAGTGAGAACTCAAGATAAACCTCTGTTAATATTTCTAGCACAAGGAGGCACCAAGTAGAGTGAGAACTCAAGATAAACCTCTGTTTATATTTCTAGCACAAGGAGGCACCAAGTAGAGTGAGAACCCAAGATAAACCTCTGTTTATATTTTAGCATAATGAGACATTATGTAGAGTGAGGACCCAAGGTTCACCTTTGTTTATATATTTCTAACACAAGAAGGCATCTGGTAGAGTTAGGACCCAAGGTGCACCTCTGTGTGATATATATAGCAGAAGGAGGTACCAAGTAGAGCCACCAACCTAACATTTACTAGCTGGTAAAAAATTCAGCGTCCCTGTGAGATTCCAACCCAAATCAGTTAGAAACAAGTGATAAGATGTTGGCAAGCTTGACCACTCAGCTACTGTGGCATATTCACTTTTTGAGCGTTGACCTGAAACTAAATAATTTATTAGGTTTGTTGCTTTAAAAAGATAACAGACTAAACAAGTTTGACCTAAAGAGAAATCTTGCAGTTGAGTTATATTAATCTTGTATGTTTGAAGAAGTCACATGGGCACTTAATGGTTTATAATTAATGAAATGTTTTAGGTGTTGCCCATTATAGACAAAAAAAGAAAATACATAATTATTTACACAAATAAACAAATACAGCCTCTTGACAGACTAAACATTTTCTTAAGGAGCTTTATAACACAAGCTTGTTTAGAGATATATTTGGAAATTCTATAATAAAGCAACATGCAGTAACCTTTGTATGGTTTAATGCAGTGGTGCTCTCTTGTATGTAGAATGTCTATGTCACTTGACAGGGAGACCATGGCCAGCTTCACACAGTTTTGTTGTCTAACCTTTCTAGTCTGACCAGTTGAAGACTGACTTGTTGTTATCACTAACTAAGGTGTAGTTTGAAAAGTTGCTATTACTGACTAGGTGTTGTAAGCTCACAAATTGTTGTTTATTTTGACCAGTTGTAGTCTTACCAGTTGTTATAACTGACTAATTGAACACTGACCAGTTGTTATCACTGACCATTTGTAGCCTTACCAGTTGTTACACTGACCAGTTGTGGTCTGACCAGTTAAAATCACTAACCAGTTGTAATCACTGACCAGTTGAAATCACTGACCAGTTGTAATCACTGACCAGTTGTAATCACTGACAAGTTGTAATCACTGACCAGTTGTAATCACTGACAAGTTGTAATCACTGACCAGTTGTAATCACTGACCAGTTGTAATCACTGACCAGTTGTAATCACTGACCAGTTGTAATCACTGACAAGTTGTAATCACTGACCAGTTGTAATCACTGACAAGTTGTAATCACTGACAAGTTGTAATCACTGACCAGTTGTAATCACTGACCAGTTGTAGTCTTACCAGTTGTTATAACTGACTAATTGAACACTGACCAGTTGTAATCACTGACCATTTGTAGCCTTACCAGTTGTTACACTGACCAGTTGTGGTCTGACCAGTTAAAATCACTAACCAGTTGTAATCACTGACCAGTTGAAATCACTGACCAGTTGTAGTCTTACCAGTTAAAATCACTGACCAGTTGAAATCACTGACCAGTTGTGGTCTGACCAGTTAAAATCACTAACCAGTTGTAATCACTGACAAGTTTAAATCACTGACCAGTTGTTATCACTGACCAGTTGTTATCACAGACCAGTTGTAATCACTGACCAGTTGAAATCACTGACCAGTTGTTATCACAGACCAGTTATAATCACTGACAAGTTTAAATCACTGACCAGTTGTTATCACAGACCAGTTATAATCACTGACAAGTTGAAAACACTGACCAGTTAAAATCACTAACCAGTTATAATCACTGACAATTTTAAATCACTTGACCAGTTGAAATCACTGACCAGTTGTTATCACAGACCAGTTATAATCACTGACAAGTTTAAATCACTGACCAGTTGTTATCACAGACCAGTTATAATCACTGACAAGTTGAAATCACTGACCAGTTAAAATCACTAACCAGTTATAATCACTGACAAGTTTAAATCACTGACCAGTTGAAATCACTGACTAGTTGTTATCACAGACCAGTTATAATCACTGACAAGTTTAAATCACTGACCAGTTGAAATCACTGACCAGTTGTTAT